TCTTCCAGTATCCTGTTTCCCATTGCCCAGCCCAAATGGAAGACAAAAGACAAGAAAGCCCATTGATGCCTTATCTACAGTTTAGCCTTCTCTGGAGGCATACAACAGGGTGGAAAAGTATAAAGACAGCATTAGGAGGGCAGACCTCTTAGTTGACCAAATATAATACGAGCATGCATCCATTGCCAGGGTAAAGAGTGTCACTGGACCTTTTACAACATGAGAAAGGTTATTTCCTCACAAAACCCTTGATATACAGAGTGTTCTAGCAGGAGCAAACAGTCCAGATGAAATCTCTGTTGTAAAACTTTCATAAGAGTAGTCCTTAAATGAAGTCTATAAAATTTATAGCTTTACAGATTCCAGCCTGTTCTTCTGCCATTCTTTATACCACTCACCAGCCATGCAAAACTATCTCTTGTCTCCTCCAGCAGGGAACAAGGGCACAGAGAACTCACACCCTCTTCTTTGCTTCAGCCTATCCACTAGAACTAGCTCAGGCTTAATCTAACTGCAAAGCAGCTCAGGAAATATAGAAGAGAAGATGACATATTTTGGTGAGTACCATTGTCTCTGCCAGTTTCTTGGAGCATTTTTGCTTACTTCCTAGTTCTTAGCTTTGTTCTATTTAACATACTTCTGTTGTGGAGCTTGCCAGTTAATTAAAGTTCCTTTGAGAGTTTTCAAGAAAAGTGACACACACAGTTATATTAGCTAGCACACATAAGTTAACAGAACTAGCTAGTAACCCCTGCCAAAAAGGGCTTGAGAAATATTCCATTTGTTTTTGCCAAAGGAACCTGTGCTAAGAATTGTTTTAAAACGTTGTGATAGTAGAAGTAAAGAGCACTGAGTTTTCTTTGGATTCATGTGTGCCAGTTATGAATTTATCGGTTCTGAGCTCCAAATTAAAACTTGAAATTCGGCTCTGAGTTTTCTCAGTAGAGGGCCCCGTAGAGAAACATTGCAGTAAGAAAGGGCGTATTTCCATTTGGACACCAGGTAAGGTAGGCTACCTGCCTTCAGTGCAGGTTTCATCTTAGGAAACCAGAGTAGTGACAGAAACTGTAGCTCACAAAGTCCAAAATACTCACCATCTGGCTCTTTAGAGAAAGTTTGCTGATCCCTGTTCCAGTCTATCTGTGGAAACAAAAATGCAAACTACGAAGCTCCCCAAACCACAAAGCATCTATTGAAATAACTGATGTTGTTCTGCTAGCTTTTTATGGAGAAAAATTAGCAGAACAACATCAGTTATTTCAAATAGATACTTTTTAAGGTTAACCCTGAAGTTTTAAAACGATCTGTCTTAAAATTATTTTGTCAAATACAAGGTGTTTTTTTTTTTTTTTTTTTTTTTTCCCCATGAATACATATTTTATAAATGAACTTTGAGGGTACAAGTGTGGATTTAAAAATACCTCCTCCTTTGGTCTGGGTTATTATGCAGTAAGAACAGTCTTAGGGGGAGATGTTGAATTTGTACTTGGCCTGGGTTTTACTTCCCTTTTCAATCAAGAAAGCCATCAAACATTCTTTGAAGGTAAGGTTTTCTTTGCAGTGAGTTGCTGAAGCCCTTTTTCGCTTTTACAAAGAAGTTCAGCCTTCATAAAAATAATATGGCTTTTTCATTTGTGGGTGGTATGTTTTATAAAATCAGACAAGATTTCAGAGATGTATGTTTCCCCCTCTTCCTGCCTAAACTTTGGCTGTCATCTTCCTTTTTTCTTTGCCTCACTCCCCATTTTATTGGGATCAATCAAGATTGCTGGGTATAGACAGTAATAATGAACAGTCCAGTTCATTCTGTCTTCCTTGGACTATAAATTTTTCTAGAGATTCTATGGCTAGAAACGCTATTCTTTCTTCACAAAATACTGTTACAAAAGCCATTATTTTACATTTCTTACAGCATTTTTAGAGTGTTAATTCTGCATATATTTATCTCCTACAAAAGTGGTGTAACTCTTACTAAAAATGGACTTATCGTGGTATTTTACAATTTTAAAAAACAGCTTATTTTTAAGCTTAATATGCCTGGAGGGGAAATACTCTGTGACTGGAATAACATGTCAAGGAAAAATGTGTTTGGGGACCCATGGTCTTCTCTTGCAGACTTTCGATTTTAAAAAACATACTTTCTCTATTTGGTTGCAGCACCATTAGACCCACAGTGTATATTTAATATTTCTAAACTTACAGAGAAAATATTCAATTAAAAAAAAACTTTAAAAAAGTTAACTTACAAAATTATAAACGTAAAATGACTATGTCTTCACTGGCACATGGCATATATAGCTGATTTTCTCCCCAAATTGTTGTTAAAAAAAGATGCTTTAAAAATTTAGCATTAGTAAGTATTGTACTCAAGGTTTGAGACCGATAAAGACAATGAAGTTTATTCCCTGAATTTCCCTAAGGTCCATGAGGGTAGGGACCTTACTTGATTTAGCTCACCACTGTATTCCCAGCACCTAGCTCAGTTGTTGGACAGTAACTGTCTATAGAATAAGTAAACTTCATACTCTCATGTCCCCAAATCCTCAAGTATGTCATTCCATCAATTACCCCATCATTCTCCACCCTCTCCCTATTGGCTATCGCCCCTCAGCAAAACGTCTGCCAATTAAAATCCCTCCGTTCACCCAGAGCATAGCCACCTGCCTTCTGTCCTCTTTCCTTCATAAACTACAAGGCTTTCTTAGAGAAAAAAGTTGGGAGACAGTTCTTTTGGCTTCACAGAAGTTCTAGTTCCGACTTTTGCCAAAAGCTCTTATTTCTAAAAATGTAAAAATATGTTTTCCAGCAACTCATTAGTACCTTCCTGGATCTAGGATCTGTATATGAAGAAAGTATGTGTAGCTCTGCTTGATGACAGCTTTGAGCCCCAGTAGTTCTGAAATAACGCCGGTCTTCCAAACTGGCTGAGGAACATTTTCAGATGTTAGACCTGGTGTAGTTTGAGTTAGGGATAAAACTGTTCAGTTCTATAGGGGTAGTGACTGTCCCATCTTCTCGGCCTGAAGAATTACCTGAATGCAATAAAAATGATTTTTAAAATACTTATAACCGTCCCCAGCTATACATGAGGTATTTTAACAAAGAGCACAAATGAGAATATAGAAAATGATAACTGAAACAGAATTTTGGATAGCATCTGGGCTGCATGCTGATTCCATGACATGGCAGAGTATTATTGTGGTGATCCTTAATTTAAAGGGGCAATTGCTGTCCCTAAAGTGACACTTTGCTAAGGAAATAGTAACAAGTCTATCTATATACATGATTAAAGATTTTTATCATTTACATTTCATAGCTGTGATCTAACCATTTTTATGAAAATATTATGTAAATTATGATCAAAACAAGTGTACCCAGAATCAGAACTAATTAATTCCCCTTTCCTGTGGATGCAGCTGATGTATTGTGTCACATCTTACCACTGATTTTCAGAAAATTATACTAGCAATATTAGGAAATGCCTTTATGATCAACTGTCAACAGCTTTCTTACATTAACATGAATCAGACATCTCCGAGTCAAGGCTGAGATGGCAATATCACTTGAGGTTAGGAGACCAGACTGGGCAACATAGCAAGACCTCGTCTCTAAAAAATAAATTAGCTGGTTGTGGTGGCACATATCTGTAGTTCCAACTACTTGGGAGGCTGAGGCCAGAGGATCACTTGAACCCAGGAGTTTGAGGCTACAGTGAGCTATGATCACATCACTGCACTGCAGCCTGGGCAACAGAGCAGGCACTTGTCTCTAAGGAAAAATGATAAAAAAAAATCGCTCCCAGAAAGAATATATGTTTCAAGTAAGATTATTAAAAATATTTCAGATCAAGTATTAGGGAGCAATTCTGTTTATGCTGAAACTATAACTACAATATTGATACCATATGGTTTGATCCTTGATATCCATAAGGTTATCAAGGACAGTGTCAAGGATTGATAACATAAGGTTCAATCCTTACATCTAAACAATCAGACTCAATTCACCTGCTGACCTATATTAATATTACACTAAAAAACCAACCCAAAACGGTCTATTCAGTGCTTTGGCAGGATTTGCTTTAATATTAAAGAATAAATCAGTATCTTCCAAGCAAAGTCAAAACAAACAAAAGATCTTAAATAAAAGTCTAAAAATCCATCAAATAAATCAACTCTAAGAAAATAAATGCCTTGTTGTATTATTGCACTACATTTTAGGTTATCACCAATTTTTGATAGTATGGGATTTACATGAAAGGCATTTGAGATACTGTGGAAAGTAACGTATGACTAAACAATGCACACACTGTGTGTATGTGTTTATGAAATACACACTTTGGATCACTGGATAAATCACGAGTCCTTTTTAAGTTTCAATACTCTCTAGTGTAAAATGGGGAAAATACCCAGAAAAGTCATCTATTAGGGTTACTTGGTAGATCAGTTAGTCATGAAATTAACATTAAACTTAATAGACTAAGAGTTAGTCAACATTGGTACATGAGTTTACATTAAAGCACTTTGTAAAGAAAATGGTATAAATGCAAATTAATGTTATATATATTAAAATATGAATAATATAAAAGCACACAAAACCCATCAATTCAGAAAGGAAAAAAAGCTAACCTTTTCTGATTCTTTAATAGCTTAAAAATGGTTTAAAATGACTTTTGCCATTCAACTCGTATCAGTTCATGAAGCTCTAGAATAAGTAACCACTGAAGGTAAGCTATCTTTTAAACAATAAAAGCCAAACTATACTATTCCTAACACCTTTCAGTTTCTCTAAAGCCAGTATGACAACCTTACAGGAAAATAATTACTCCTCTTTTTTATCCCTTAAAATTTAAAACGTAATTTCTACCATGTTTTCAGTAAGATTCTCATTCTGTACCAGAAAGGCAGTTCCTTGAAAACCCAGGTTTTAAATACTTAACCTTTTTTTTTCTGTCCATAAACTAGGTATTATGTTTACACATTATCAGTAACACAGAGTCAGTATCTTGGTGTAGAACATTTATTTATTTTTCCCACGAATCACTGAAAGTTTAGGTCAGTGGGAAATAATTTTAATCAAATAATTGTACATTTTCTTCCCACATATCCTGCCTTGTATTAGGAAATGACATTGTGATCCATTTCATTACAAGTAAAATATTACAAAATATTTACAGGAAAATATTAAAAATAACTCAAACACAAAAGGCAAGATGAAATAAACTGTTTTTTTCAAAAATTTCTACTCCAGTGCCCACAGCACACAAGAGAGTCAAAACAAATAAGCAACTAAGATCCCCCTGTGATCACAAATTTCCAAAGAACTGGAGGAGGGGAAGAAACAGGATGAAAATGGTGGTGTGAAAGGGAATGGATGCTAGCAGCACTGCTTCAATAACTGATCTATTCTGGATGAAATACCCTCTTTTATGTGCAGTAAATTCTGAACAAGGCTAAATTTTAGGATATTCCTTGAAATGAAATTAGAAAATACCCTGACAATGGAAGCAGCTCTTTCATCTAAGTTTAATAAGAGCTTCTTTCTCCATGGGCCACTGTTGTGAACAGAAGCCTGTTCTGGCATCAAAAGCTGTCACAGTAGCCCTTCCATCTCTTTCATGAAAGCCTCATAGACATCATCCTTAGTTTGTACTGAGACAGGAACAGAAGGACCAGATTTGGGTGCTGCTTTGGCAAGAGGCACAGCAGAATCATCCTCTGACTTTCTCTGGGGAGCAGCAGTAGCCCCTTTATTCTCCCGACGTACTCTCAGTGCAGTGGGCACAAATCGAGTAATCTCTGCCTTGGGATTAGTGATCTGTGGCTTGGCACTGATGGTTGCTGTGGCTTTCTTCTCAATGGTGGCTGCACTCGTATCATCCGCCTTGGGTCGCTGAATCAAGTTGGGTGGGGCACTTAAAACCCCAGGGTTCGGCAAGGGAGCTGGTGGGAAAAGCCCAGGGGGGGCAGGTCCAAGGGGAGGCACCAAAGGTGGGCGCATCATGCCAGGACGAGGTGGAGGAATACCTAAATGAATAAAATAGGCAGGATGAATACTGTAAGAACTAATACAATTTAACTACTATTAAGGACATTTAAATATTGGTTACCAATTTTTAAAAAAATGGATAACAACTTACAGAAAATAAGCTGCACTCATACTGGTTGCAATTTGAAACTCAGGAATATTTTATTATAAAACAGTATTTACCTTCAGCCTATATTCCTGCACTTACAGTAATATGTTCTCTTCTCTAAATAATGTTCTACTTTAAAATATAAAGTGACATCAACTGGTTTCAAATTACTATCTCAAATCTCACATCCCAAGATTCTATTCCAGCTGCATAGTGCAGATATTAGTAAGGACAAGGTCAGGAGACCAATGCCCATGCATTATATTTCCATTACCATTTCCCCTGCACAAAAAGGTAACAATGTGCAAGAAATAAAATTTTAACCCTAGTCATTAAATACACATGTAGGTCAAGCATGGTGGCTCACATTTGTAATCCCAGCACTTTGGGAGGCCAAGGCGTGTGGATCATTTAAGGTCAGGAGCTCAAGACCAGCCTGACCAACATGATGAAACCGTGTCTCTACTAAAAATACAAAATTAGCTGGGCGTGGTTGTGCACGCCTATAATCCCAGCTACTTGGGAGGCTGAGGCAGGAGAATTGCTTGAACCCAGGAGGCGGAGGTTGCAGTGAGCTGAGATCGCACCATTGCACTCCAGCCTGGGCAACAAGAGCGAAACTCCGTCTCAAAGGAAAAAAAGTGCACATGGAGTAAGAGAATGCAACTAATCACAATCTGTCATCATTACTGGAAAAGAACTCATGTCCTATGGACAGTCAGACATACACAATATTCATATACCAAGAACTGCAGATTTCAGTTCTTCAAATGCTACTTTTAAATTAAAGTACCATATTTTATCAAATCTAAGATCCTATTGATTACATAAACTCATAATTATTCTGTGTACCACTAAGACAGAGAGAAAGAAAAAAAAAGCCCCAGATGGGGCACTTAAAAGCAGATCTTCACATGAAAGTGGGACATTTCAGTGTTGTAAACTAGAAATATACCTGCCACATAAAACAAGCCCACAAGAAAATCTGCATGTCTAACCTTGACACTAGGTAGAGGAAAGGAAAAAAAACACTCTCTGTAATTTTAAACTTTAAGTTGGTACTCATGCGGATGCATGGAACGGCTTCATAACTACAACTAAAACCAAAAAATTATCAAATAGAGAATTTCATCCCATGTTCTCTGGCTAGAAGTCCCTCAAGTGAACCAAGTGCAAATACCCACTGGAAGAACTCTACTTCAAACCAGGTCAACAACTTAAAAACCACCACCGACTGTAAGATTATCTCAGATTTCAGAATACTGAAAAGTGACCATATATCTTAGAGCAAATTAAATAAAGAGTAGGCAAAGTTTTTATTATAGAAATTGAAAGCGTCACCTGGAGGTGCAGGGGGAGGTAGCCTTGGTGGGGGTCCCCGAGGAGGGGGACCAGGAGGCAGACCTGGAGGTGGACCTGGGGGAGGGCCAGGGGGTCGGCCTGGTGGTGGTCCTGGAGGTAAAAGTCGGGGTAAGGGCCCTCGGAGTCCTGGCATTCCAGGTGGTCTCAGGAATGGAGGAGCTCCTGAAAAGGGAGAAATGATAAATTAATGTCACACAAATACACATTAAGTAATAATTATGGCTTAAAAGTAACTCAAATATGGTTTGACTTTAACCTGAAATCAGATTAACTTTAAAAACTTAATGAAACATACATGGAAACAGAATTCACTCAATAAATATCTCAGTACAGCCGGGCATAGTACAGCCACCTCACGCCTGTAATCCCAGCATTTTAGGAGGCTGAGGCGGGTGGATCACGAGGTCATGAGTTTAAGACCAGCCTGGCCAAGATGGTGAAACCCTGTCTCTACTAAAAATACAAAAAAATTAGCTGGGCATGGTGGCGGGCACCTATAATCCCTGCTACTCGGGAGGCTGAGGCAGAAGGATTGCTTGAACCCGGGAGGCGGAGGTTGCAGTGAGCCGAGATCACACCACCGCACTCCAGCATGGGCGATAGAGTGAGACTGTCTAAAAAAAAAATATCTGAGCACCAGAAAAATGGTACTGGATTTGTTGTGGATCTTTTCACTTTATTTCCCAACACTGACAAAAAGCATACTCAATCACAGCTCTGCAATGCTGGAAATATAAAAAGGTGATAAGAATTCTTAAATGGTTCCAGTATAAACTGAAAATGGAATATAAAACACAATGCTTTGTCCCTACAAAGGACATGAACTCATCCCTTTTTATGGCTGCACAGGATTCCATGGTGTATATGTGCCACATTTTCTTAATACAGTCTATCACTGATGAACATCTGGGTTGGTTTCAAGTCTTTGCTATTGTGAATAGTGCCGCAATAAACATACGTGTGCATATGTCTTTACAGCAGCATGATTTAGGGGGGAGGGACAGCATTAGGAGAAATACCTAATATAAATGAGGAGTTGATGGGTGCAGCACACCAACATGGCACATGTATACATATGTAACAAACCTGCATGTTATGCACATGTACCCTAGAACTTAAAATATAATGATAAAAAAAAGGCAAGCAAAAAAACCCCACAAAAAAACAAAACCCAATGCTTTAAGGACCCCTTGAAACTCATGAATATATAGATAAAGACCACTAAGAATGACATAAAATATGTAACTTTCCTTTGCACCAATCGGAAAATGATTAGCTTAACTGAAGAAAACTTAGTAGGCTGACAATAGGATGAAGGACTAAAATCACAAAGAGCCGAAAAGTTCTCTGTTGTTTCATTTTACAATCTTTTTATACTTTCGAGCTGAACACTTAATAAACAGAGTAATCACCTTTGCCTCTAAAAAAGAACTACAACTAAAAAACTATGCAGATTATACTGACATTCAACATTCTTAACCTAAGAACACAAGACAGTATTAACTGTGTCTTACTCCCACCTGCTGCCAATTTAGAGCTAGGTCAACCTATCATATTAAAAAGCAATACTAAAGAAAGCCTCCATTACATGTTCAAGTTTCTGTCTGTTGTAATCAGAAAAACTTTGAAAACAAGAGTGCTTTGGAGAAAAACAGGTGGCTGTCAGTAGAACTATGAGTTGCAAACAATGGTTTAGGAATAAACAAGCTTTACTTGTCCTTTGAGAATCTTTCACATCTTAGAGAATCCCATTAGGAGGAAACAAAAAAACATGAACGCTAATAACACATACTGTTTTTTGGAATGACTTCACTCTAACCCCATTTAAACTTTAGTCACATGATGTAAGTGTCTACCTGGAGGCGGACCAGGAGGGAGGCCTGTAGGTGGCCCAGGAGGCCGTAATGGTGGAGCAGGTGGTGGTCCAAGAGGTGGTGGTCCTGGCATGGGAGGTGCTTGTATCTGAGAAGGAGGAACAGACTGCGGCGGAGCCTGCTGCTGTGAAGAAGCAGTGGATGCGCCATCAGAATGGGATTCCTCTTTATGCTGTTTTTGTGATTGCTTTTCTGCTTCAGAGTCATCAGAATCATCTTCATCATCGTCCTCTGAAAATTCCTCTACTTCCCGTCCCTCCTCAGGGATTTCTTGACCTGAAAGAAATTTTAAACTCAGTAAATGGAGTTGATTCACTTTTTTACAGTTTGGAGAACAGCAATGACTGAATACACATGGTTAATACATGTGTTCTTAAAATTAAAAACCAAATAGTCTTCTTCAATAAAATACTTAGATGTGAAAGAAATACTATTCTATACTCATCTGTATTAGTGTAGCATAGTGGAATAAACTCAGGCTTTAAAACAAGACAGACCAATATTTAAATGCCAGCCCAACCATTTACTTGCTATGTAACTTTAGGCAGCCTATATAATGGTTCCAAATCCTATTTTTGTAAAACAAGGACTTACTACTTACTTGAAGGTTGCTGAGATACTAAATGGAAAAATGTATGTAAAGCAATTAGCGTGAGGATACACCAAAAGGTGATTCACTATTTTTTCCCTGCCTTACCTGCCATACGAAGCATCATGGCTTGAAGAGGAGTCAGTTCCTTCATGTTCTTCTTTTTCTTCCTTGATTTTCCAGGCATATCTGCAAACCGTACACTCAGACCTAAGGGGTCAAAGGAGGGAGTGGAGTAGATTGGGATCAACAAAATTCAGTAAATGTTTACTATGTAACAGTATGAAGTACTAGATATGACTGCTACCCACTACTTGGCAGAGGTGCAGGATGAGACAGCTATATTAATGATATGAACACCCAGATAAAAACAATGTTCTAGAAAATATAAATTATTAAAGTTGGTCAAAGAGGTGATAAGCCCAGAATATACAAAACTTAAATGGTAGTTGAAGATCTACTCCTTAAAGGCTACAAATAATTTTAGGAGGAAATTCAGCCAAACATTAAGTTACAGAAATTTCCTGATAAAGAGCATAGGAAAAGATGAAATGTTACCCAACTCATGAAGTCAGCTTAAACCTGATACCAAAACTCATCTATTGGCCAACATAAAATATAAGCAAGTTATACATGTTTATAGCAGCACAATTTGCAATTGCAAAAATATGAAACCAATCTAAATGTCATCAACCAACCAATGGTTAAAGAAAATGTGGTATATATCCACCATGGAATACTACTCAGTCATAAAATGGAACAAAATAATGGCCTTTATAGCAACTTGGATGGAGTTGGAGGCCATTACTCTAAGTGAAGTAACTCAGGAATGAAAAACCAAATACTGTATGCTCTCACTTATAAGTGGGAGCTAAGATACAATGATGCAAAAGCATAAGAATGATACCATGGACTTTGGGGACTCAGTGAGGAAGGGTGGGAGGGGAGTGAGGGAAAGAAAACTACAAACTGGGTACAGTGTATATACCTTGGGTGAGGGATGCATCAAAATCTCAGAAATCACCATTAAAGAACTTATCCATGTAACCAAACACAACCTGTTCCCCCAAAACTATCAAAATTAAAATTTACAAAAAGGAAAAAAATATATAAGCAAGTTGAATCCAAGTGTTCTAAAAGCCAGCAATGTAGTTCACAACAATAAAGAACTTACAAAGAACAAAAAAAAAGTTACATCCCAACAGATATATAAAAAATACTTATGATTAAAAAAAAAAAACTCTTAGCAAGCTAAGAATAGAAAGAACTTTTTTTTTTTTTTTTGAGACGGAGTTTTGCTCTTGTTGCCCAGGCTTGTGTGATCTCAGCTCACCGCAAACTCTGCCTCCCAGGTTCAAGCGATTATCCTGCCTCAGCCTCCCGAGTAGCTGGGATTACAGGCACGTGCACCCACGTCCCGCTAATTTTGTATTTTCAGTAGAGACGGGGTTTCTCCATGTTGGTCAGGCTGTCTCGAACTTCTGACCTCAGGTGATCCACCCACCTCAGCCTCCCAAAGTGCTGGGATTACAGGCATGAGCCACCGTGCCCGGCCTAAAAAGAACTTCTTAACTGACTAAGGCTATCCACTGGACGCTGGATAGGAGTATTTTTAGTTAGTAAACATTTTAGGAGGAGAATAGTTCCATGTGAACAGGACTTTAGTTTTGTTTACCCTGTATCCTTAGTGCCTAGAAAAAATGCCGTGTGTATAGTAAAAACTCAATAAATATTAGCTGAGTGAGTATCAACTCAGAGTTGGGATGGCCATTTTCAGAACATGTGTATTGATGAGAATATATAAGAAAAATGTGGTTGGGTGCTGTGGCTCATGCCTCTATTCCCAGCACTTTGGGAGGCCGAGGTGGGCAGATCACCTGTGGTCAGGAGTTCGAAACCAGCCAGGTCAACATGGTCAAACCCCGTCTCTACTAAAAATACAAAAATTAGCCGTGCATGGTGGTGGGTGCCTGTATAATCCCAGCTACCTGGGAGACTGAGGCAGGAGAATCGCTTGACCCCCGCGAGATGAGGTTGCAGTGAGTTGATATTGTGCTACTGCACTCCAACCTGGGTGACAAGAGTGAGATCGTCTCAAAAAAAAAGATAAAAGAAAAAAGAAAAAAAAAAATCTGTCGGCAGAATAAAAGGAAAAGAAGGCAAGAGACCACATAGACCCAGAAAAAAGTGGAGCTGCCGTGGCTCTAATGGCTTTCTACTTTCCAGTAATAGTTCCTACCTAACAGTCCTCTATAATAATCTTTCATTACCAGCTCTATTATTTTTAACTAGCTTTTTTTGTGTTTGCAACCACAATTCTTAAGACACAGCAGGAGAAAAATTTGTCATTATCAATATTAACATTAGTATTACATAATATTATATAAATATTCTGTTGTAGGCTACAAAAACAATCCTAAAAGAAGCTCCAAAACTGCTGAGGTTTGATAGAAGTGACGTGCATTTTGCACTGTCAGTACCTATTAACGATGCTTAAAATTTTCTTGACAAATGTCCTATTTGAATTTTTTTTTTTTTGACACGGAGTCTCACTCTGTTGCCCAGGTTGGAGTGTAGTGGCACGATCTCGGTTTACTGCAAGCTCCATCTCCTGGGTTCACGCCATTCTCCTGCCTCAGCCTCCCAAGTAGCTGGGACTACAGGTGCCCGCCACCACGCCTGGCTAATTTTTTGTATTTTTAGTACAGACGGGGTTTCACCCTGTTAGCCAGGATGGTCTCAATCGCCTGACCTCGTGATCTGTCTGCTGCGGCCTCCCAAAGTGCTGGGATTACAGGCGTGAGCCACTGCGCCCAGCCTGAATTTTTTAATAATAAACATACACATTATAGATAAAATATGTTTCATGATTCCACTCTTGAGTGTACCTGGGTTATAAATATTATCCTGGTTCATGTAAGATACTATAAAAGGGCTTCAAAGGTAGATATTTAAACAGACTTATAAAATACAACATCAATGTTTTTCTTAATATGGCTAATCTCCTTTCCTATAACGTACCCATAAAAATACATGTTTATGCTGTTGAATAGTTATACCTTTTACCCCGAAGTGAACTTTTGCATAGACATTTTTATTACACACACTTTGTTTTTCCTCATAAACATCCACTGAGTACTTACTGTGTCAAAAACTTTCAAAATTTTAGTATATAAAGATGAATATAGCTATGATCCCTACTTCCAAAGATTTCAGAGTACTCTCACAGATTCACTGATAAATTAGGACCTTCGGCTTGTCTTCTCTTTATTGATCGATACCATGAATCTTCATCTGCACATACCTGACTTCTTTTCTTCATTGTTGTCTCTCTCACCATCATCACGGTGCACAAATTCATCCCCGTCACTTTCTCCATCTGATTTGTCGGTGTCACTGTCATCAGTACTGTCATCATGCTTATCTTGATCCATGTCCTCAGGATAGCCATCATCTTCACTGGTGCTAGAAATATCATCATCATGACCTCGCTGGGCTGAAAAGTGGGAAAGGAACATGGAGAAGTAATATGATTGGACCCTCCATGACATGGTACCCAGAAATACAGAAAATTATCCTATTTAACTCACATTGTAACAACTTAATGCTTATAAAAAAACATTCCTATATAAAGCTATTCATACAGTCTAACAATATTTTCATTTGCCAATAATTTTAAACACTTCTTTTTGGTAATTTAAGATTTTTTTTAAAAGAGGTTCTACTTTGAAAACCCGTTTCCTCCTTTAGCAACAATCATGCTTGTATACACACACAGTCAGTGAATGTATACAACAATGCTCTAGTCTGATGACAATAAAGCTAAAAGGGAACCAGATATACAAGTCTTAAGGGATTAGTAGCAAGAGTGACATCTCCAAGGAAAGCCTGACTTAAAACACAATAAACATGTCTATACTTATGTATGATGCTTTTACTTGAGTAGATCCTATGATTTATCCAACTGTATGTATATTAGTACATACATGGTATCCTCTCATTTACGTCCTAAGTTCTGAGGGTGGTGAACAATATGTTAAACAGGCCTAACACAAAAAATGATAGTTATAACAGCAAAGAACAGTCACTTCTCACCAAGTTCAGGACTATATAACATGTCTTCATCTCGCCTACGAGGGGGAAGATCTAGGGCAAAACCCACTTTACGGCCATACATCTGCACGACTTGAGGAGGAGGTGGACCAGGGGGAGGGCCAGGAGGTTTTCTGCCAGGGGGCAAACGTGGAACACCATGTCCAAGAAGAGGAAGGATAGAAACTGCCCGAGTTGGAGGTCTGTTAACAAAAAAACAAAAACAAAAAAATCCCCACAGTAATCACTTAACAGTAATGAGATATTTATTTTCTCTTCTAAACAATTTTCAAGGGATTTATTTTACATTTAATCAAATGTCACACTGTTTACATCCACATTGTCTTTATTTCCCCCTGCATTAATTTTGGCACTGGACAGGCAATTTGTGTCTTTACTAAATGCTCTCTGATTGTGACACTGCTTCCTTACCCATAGGCCGAGGTTTTCTTTAGTATAGAGGGTGGCTGGGCACCAGGAAGTGGAATGTCCTGGATCAAAATGTTGGAAGGAGCATGTGGCATATCCGGCAAAGGAATACTCTCCACCTCCACATGCTGAGCATTCTGAAAGAGAGCCATTCAATAGTATGATAAAAAAGTCATCCACTAACTAAACACTAAAAATGACAAGTCAGCTGTTTCGTAACTTGGACACGCTTTCCAACTAACATAAATATCACTAAAAACCCCCACAAAAATAATCTCACATCAATACTTAACAGATTGTCAAAGAATTGAAAGAAATCTTCCCTTTTAAAAATGCTAAAACCCAGCAGCTTTTTTCTCCTCTTATCAGGTAATTCTTTTTGGATATGATTCGAAATAGCTGTTGTTTAGAGAAACCCAACTGTTACAAGTATCTAGCATCAGACCTACCCTATTTAATATGCAGGGTGACAGAAAAATACATGTCGGGCTGGGCGTGGTGGCTCACGCCTGTAATCCCAGCACTTTGGGAGGCTGAGGCAGGTGGAGCACGAGGACAGGAGTTTGAGCCCAGCCTGGCCAAGATGGTGAAACCCCGTCTCTACTAAAAATACAAAAATTAGCCAGTTGTGGTGGCGTGTGCCTGTAGTCCCAGCTACTCAGGAGGCTGAGGGAGGAGAATTGTTTGAACCTGGGAGGCAGAAGTTGCAGTGAGCCTGGGCAACACAGTGAGACTCGGTCTCAAAAACAAAAAACAAACAAACAAAAATAAAAATAATACATGTCAACTAACAAATAGTATATATCCAGTGGTGGAGGTTGGGTTCATTAGCTTGCCTATGTTGAATTTCTGTTGTGTATTAGCTTAACTAAGCAAGTTAACTTGTGCCTTCATCTGTAAAATGGGAGACATATTACCTCCTTTACAGAAATTATAGCATTTGATTTTTTCCCATCTTTATTTTGAGGTAAACAAAATGTACAAATTCAGTAAGTTCTGACAAATGCATATACCTCATAATCCTTCCCAATCCATCTCTAATATCATCCCCAAAGGCAACCACGGCTATATCTTTTTTTCCTGCACAGATTAGCTGTGACTATTCTAGAATTTCATAAAAATGAAATCATAACAATGAAATAAACTTAGCATGTTTTTGAGATTTATTCATAATTTTTCTTTTTTTATTCCATGCTGTTTTGAGTATTAGATTATTCCTTTTATTGCTGAATAGTATCTGATTGTATAAATATGCTACAGTTTAATTATCCATTATCCTATCAGTGAACACAGAGGCTGATCCTAGTTTTTGAATTAATTTCTTCTGTTTAAATAAAAAGGATTAGATTTGCTGGTTCACACGGTAGGTATATGTTTAGTTTTAGAAGAAACTGCTATGAGGAAGAGGTTCAACATGACTAATTCTTCCATTAACTTTTTAAATCTAAGTACAGGTTGAGCATCCCTAATCTGAAAATCTGAAATGCTCCAAGATCCTAAACTTTTTGACTCCCACATGATGCCATGGTGGAAAAATCCACACCTGACCTAACGTGATGGGTCGTAGTTTTGTTTCATGCACAGAATTTATAACATTATCTTCAGGCTATGTTAATTTCATGCTTAGACTAGGGTGCTATCCCCCAAATATATGCAAATATATGCAAAAACAAAACAAAATAAAAAACAACACTAAATCCGAAACACTTCTGGTCCCAAGCACTTTGCATAAGGGATACTCAATCTGTGTAATATTTTAGTTTATCTCTAAAAAGAAAACCTTGATTACCTTGACAGCATCAAAATATTGGCTAAGTTGAGCCCTCTTCTGTTCATATTCTACTTCTAGCTTTCTCAATTCTTTGTAAATATCTGGATTCTCTTTTTCATAGAGTCGTAGAATACGTTCGAAGGTTTCACGCAGTTTTTTACGCTTGTCTTTCAGTACTTTCTCATTTAATTGTGGCTGTTGCACTGGGTTAAACTCTAAGAGAAAAAGCAGATTATGGAATTAAATATAAGAGGCCACTTCAATTAGGTATCAATAGGTTACATAATAAAAACCTCCATATATGCTAAAATTTTTTTAAGAGATCTAGATACCCAGACATACTCTTTTCAATTTTATTCAAGGAACTACAATATTTATTAAAATCCCCACCCTTTTTAGATGGCCACTAATTTTATCTTTCTCAGAAATGCCACCTAATTGATTTTCATCTTCATTGTAATAAAAATCAATTTTCACTGCTCTGTGCTGAAAACCTGGTGAAGATTCTGTCAGATTTGTGTTTACATACTATATTAGTCCTGTCAAATTTTGAGATCTATTAGCTGGGCGTGGTGGTGCATGCCTGTAGTCCCAGCTATTTGGGAGGCTGAGGCAGAAGAATCGCGTGCATCTGGGAGGCGGAGGTTGCAGTGAGCCGAGATCGCACCACTGCACTCCAGCCTGGGCAACAAAAGCAAAACCTCGTCTCAAAAAAAAAATTTTTTTTTGAGATCTTAGGCATTTTACTTGAACTCTCAAGTAAAATTTTTTGCTTCCTCATCTAAAAAATGGAGACATTAACCACTTTGTAATAAAGCTATGATGATACAATGGGATTACGAATAAAATATCCGGTGGTGTCTGACTCACCACTTAACTATAATCTTTATAACAGATCTGTATTCCTGGCCTAGCTACCATACGATCCTTTTTCTCCCCAACTAATCATGTGTCAACATGGGGCTTAACTGCAGGTCCTCTATCCCAAGAATAAGACCTCCAGGCCTGTCTGGTCAATCATATCTCCCATCTTCCTTTTTAGTGAATGACTCAGAGATCAATGAGCACATGATCCAAACTAGGGCCAGAACCTTCCCTGAGATTTTAAATGTAGATGTGAGAGACAGAAACTCTCAAGATTTTCTTTCTGGATGTGTTATGTAGAGATAAAACAAATCTAGAGCTGCCTGTGGCCTTGTCTCCCAATCATCACTAATTACACACATATATTCCACCTTCCATCCCAAGGAGAAGTTCATCAGTAGTAAGCTGAATGAGGCTAACAGAGATCAGACTAGACAGATGGACAGTACTGATGATGAGATTGGATTTTGAGGTTAGTTTCAGGGATTTCTCTTTTTTTATGTTCAGACTTCTTAATTAAGAGAGCCAATGCATGCTTTTTTCTGCCTTAACTAGTCTGTATTGAGTTTTATAAATTGTAACTAGACTCCTGATGAATAGTATTCTCTTCACCCCTTTCCTTTTTCTTAAAAGAATAACAAATTTATCTTCTTCCTTAAATCCTATTAACTATTATTAATCTTGGTAATTTATTCAAATCTAGAGGGTGTATTCTTACACTATACTATTCCTAGTGTGATTAGTAAAAGCATTGAATGCCTGAGCTTTAATCTCAGCTTTGCCACTACATAGCAGTGTGATCTTGAGAAAGCTATGTAATCTTTCTGTGCCTGAGTTTCCTTACCTGTAAAATAGGGACAGTGCAACTACTCTAAAAAATTGTGAGGATTAGAAAACTAGTGGGAAAAAACTGGTGCACAGGTGTGTAGCAAGATAACTACTCAAGAAACCTTAGTTATTACTATTAGCTCCTTTTAAAACAACACATAACATTTGGGGTCATTTAATGAAGGATTCTCTGATTCCCCAAGGAAAGTAATTATCCCTGCTGATATTTAGACCAGATGCAAGAAGTGAAATCAGTTACAGCTGAACTGGGAAAGATCTGGGATACTGAAGCCTGACCCAGAACTCTTACACAGGCTAGCTGCACAGATTCTTCCACATTATTTCAGAAACCTTGTAATAGCATAATGCCATGACTGAATTTTTTCTTGTACTGCATTTAATGTATCATTGAGGAGTTTCATTGCATCTCTTTTACTTACTACTCTGTTTTTGGGCAAACCATGGAACTTGTAACGATCACTTTAAAATGCTATTTTACAAAAGTGGCAAAGGGTAGAAGACAAAGTGGCAAAAACTTGACAGGTGAAAAGCACATGGAAGTTAACTAGACTGTTTTATTTTCTGCATGTCTGAAAACTTCTATTAAAAAAACAAAATATTCTACATGTTCTAGTATTAAACAGAAAGGATATTTGTGGGTTAGGATAAAATTTCCAGTGGCAACATCAACGATTTTCAAACTTAGATGCAAAAAAAGATAACATGCAGCTATTTCATGTGATTCCAGTTATAACAAAGCAGCGATACTTACAAGGCATATGAAGAGTGAATAAAATTATTCTATAAAATGTGAAAAAGGCAGAGAATCCTGGTATAGTATTTTATATATTTGGTTTTAGGTATTTGATGATTTTTTTTCTATATCCTTACTAAACAGTCAAGTATCTTTTTGGATCTTCTGACTGGAAAAATTGGAAACTGCCTTATATTGACAGGGGTCTAATACATAGATTTACATGGTAGTTGCCAACATTAAATAAAAGACGACAAACAAAAAACCCAAGGTTATTTCATAAACCAGATTTAAGTCTTCTCCTGAAAAGCAAGCTGGCCAAACTGCTTCTGTTATCTCATAATAACAATTAGCCGAAAGCCAAATAATCACTTCTCTCTTATTCTGGTATATGGGGTCTCCAGTTTGCAACAGCCCTCTAGCACTCCATTTTGTCTCCCCGAAACTAACATTAAATCCAAGCATCAAATGTCCTCATGCTGTTCTGTTTTACTTATGCCTATGCTGCTTCACTTATTACCTGCCTGCCTCTGTATGTGTCAGACTGTTATAGCTGCCTGTTTGTAAATTCTTACCCATTTCATCTAGTTTCTCCATGTCTCGGATTATCTGTTTTGGATCCTTCATCTTTAAAACTGCAGCTCGAACCATCATGCGCTGTTTTTTGTTCTTAGAAAAACAAAAGAAGGCCAGATGTCAAGACGTCAGGCACTCATGAGTTTTACTTCAACTTGCTTTAAGAATCTGAACAAAATAACTTCTTGGCTTCTGATCACTTGTTTCGACCACCAGAAACAGCTATGTAATTTTTTGCCTTAAAAACGTTTACACTTGTCAAAAAGATAAAGAATTGCTATTTTTAAGATGTGTTTTCTTAGTAAAGTATTTCTTTGAGCTCTGTGAGGTCTTTAGCAGTTACTTAAACACACACGCTTTAAATTTCTTTTTTTAAACCTCTTATGTTCTTGAAGACCTTGGGTGATTGTTCCTGCCCCTTGTTCTAAAACCTCTGCTAGCTGAAGTCCAAAGTTTGTTGTTTTTTTTTTTTCCCAAAAAAAAAAAAAAGGAAAGGTTGAAGCTAAATTCTAAAATTAAAGAATATTTTAAAATTTTGCAGAATCCTAAACATGAAAACACAACTGAACATTATTTAAAATCTGTGTTGCTTCAATGTATTAAAGCACAATACTATAAAGCAAATCCTTTCTTATTCTGTTGAAGTACTTTGCCACAAATTCAACAGCTAAGAGGAAAATGCTAATCAGGAAAAGAAAGGTAATATATTTATAAATATTATAAGCCAATATATATATTTAAGCTAATGTAATATACATAATAGTTAATCAGGAAAATGGATAAAGTGATCTAGCATCATGTTTATTTCCATCCTCATTGGTAGATTTTAAAAGTTATGTTTTAATAAATAACAAAAAAGAATTATTTTCCAAAGTATTTTTTAACTCACTGGAAAAGTAATCAAAAATGGCATTATAACTTGTAGTGAGCTTCTCTGCAAAGTTACTTCAGTTCCTAAATATAGTAAAGTTTGGCTTAGTATATCTTACAGTTTTTATAAAAAGCATAAAGCATCTTTTCTAGAAAATATTAGAAATGTTATTCTGAAACCTACTAATCCCAAACCACAAGATGTGCCAAATAGTACTTAAAGTTTTATCAGATGCCTCTGAAATCATACCTTCTTTAATTCTCTCTTCCGGGCTTCCTTTCCTTTAAAAGGAGAGAGGGAGATATAATAAAATTTTTGAATCTTGAACATTAGCATTTCCTCCAATTTCATACAGGTAATTCTTTATTGTGGGAAGTTACAGTATGCACTGTAAAACAGCAGCATCTTTGGCCTCTATCCACTACATGCCAAGAGCATCCCTCTAATTATGACAACCAAAAATGTCAAGACATTTTTGTTTAATGTTTCATAAAAAACAAATGAATCTGGAAGAAAAAGATAACATAAAATGCGAAACAAGGGCTCGCAAAACTAATTTGCTCAAAATTTCAAATACAAAAAGAAAACTTTCAGCCAATTCTACTTTGCAAATCAATCAAATTTGAAAACTAAAATATGGGCACTAATTTCTTTGCATGTTTAAAGTCTTAATGTTCCCATCCAAACACTGAATATACAATTTATTCCTCCTATCACTGCTGGTCTTGTAATTAAGCCACAGAGAAATAAATTCCCTAATATTTGCAATTTTTAACACTCTCCTACTTCATCATTTCACACTAATGGACACTTACGGGCTTGGTCTGTGGGGTTCATAAATTTTCCACTCTTGGTGGATGATGTAGATCTCCGTCCCATGTTGACAATTTGTATGGTTTACTTGTTCATTAAAAAAAGAAAAACCTGTGAAGGTGAAGACAAAGAAATAGCTTATATCTCCTAATTTATTTCTTCCTTTTTCTAGTCCCTACCAATCTCTGAAAAAAAAAAAAATTCCTTTAATTAGAAATTCTGTGAGACTGTTCTTTCCTTAGTTTTGACTTTAATGTCCAAGAAAGATGGCATTAACTTTCTTGACCATGAAAATTTAGATCTCTATCATTCTTTGGAAATGTGATGAGTGTGAAGACCACTTTGAATATCCTCAAGTCATTACTTTATCTTTTTTCTTACGGATCACAGCACTGACTTTGTCAACTGATAAAAAACAACTAGAAAATGCTTTAACGATATGGCACAAACCACGAACATCAGAATTCATTAGTCCTTCTTCTATAACCTCCCTTTATTAACACGTAATTGTAAAAGAAGAATACGAACGGAATGGGGGTAATGGATCTAGGCTCAAAACAAACACCTCACCCTTGCCTCGCTCCATGGTTTTTCTTGGCATGTATGCTGTACATTCTCAACACTTCTAAGACACTAAAAACTCATTCATTTAAGCATATTTAATTCAGAAATAATGCTTGACTCTCAAGAGTTCAAAACGCAACTAAACATGCAAGTATTTGAAATTAGTGCTATACTGAGAGCTCCCCAAAATTTAAATATTAAGACACATATTTTTCTAATACCTGACTCCCAATATATATTTCTTAAGGTAACTAAAGGGAATACTTATTCTTGTTTGAGGAAAAAATATTCTGTAAGCTAAAACTTTTATTAACACAGTACCCTATTACATGACTTCTTCCTCTTATTCCAAAAGAACGGGGCTTAATTTTTTGAAGCATTCTTTCCAGTAACAAAGGTGGACAAATTTGTTTCTTTTTGCAAGTAGACACTTTTTAAAGGGAAGAAAGGGAAGATTTTCAGACCAGTTTGTTACAGTTAATGTGTCTTTCGCCAAGTGTCCAATTGCCCCGAAAGCCAGATGTTTCATAGCTGTTCTGGTGGCAATTACTTCAAGACGGCGGTGTCAAAGGCTCTGATTTTTAGCTTCCTCATCTAAAAAATGGGGACATCAATTACTCTATAACAAAGCTCTGATGATACAACGGGATTACAAATAAAATATCTTGTGATGTTTGACTCACTATTTAACTATAATCTTTATAATGGATCCATATTCCTGCCCTAGCTACCATACACCCTGTCAAGTGGTTTCCTTCTCAGAAAAACTGGGGGGAGAGCAGCAGGAAGTAGGAGGTAGGGAAGGAGGAAAACATGCAACATTCGTACAAATACAAGCTCTCCCATCTTTGATTGCCTGCGTTTTTCGTGCTTTCCTTTCTCAAGTGTCCTCAGGCTCATGTTCTGAATCTCCTCCCCGACAAATGAAACACAACGGATACGAATTACAGAGAATTTTACGGAAGATACCGGAGCTTAAGTCTGCAAAGATTAGTTTTTCGTCTACAAGCGGGGGCGACTGGAAAAATCAAGCCAAATAACAGTTGGGGAACTGTAAATAGCCAAAGAAGCTTCAATGGGATAGGGTCCAGGTCCACCAAAGGAGGCAACACCAGCAACTGCCGAAACCATAGTGACGGTTGACCGACCATGACTCGAGGTACAAGACGTCAAACCTAAGGCTACCAATCAACGTGCATAGGAAGCGGCCCCAACCGCCCCGGGTGATGCCAACCGCGTAACCACTGGTCGCCGCGCCACCCCAGGCCCTGGAATACCCCAGTCGGCAACCGGGAGACCCCAGCCGGGGAGAGGACGAGCGGGGCAAAGGGGCTGGGTGTCCCCCAAGCCACTGCGCGGGCCGTGGAAGGGACGAAAGAGATGAGGAAAAGAAGTAGAGCAACTCCATACACTCACACTTCTGCTGTGCTCCCAGGACTACGAGAAGCGGGCAGGGGGCGATTCCTGGCCTCTTTCACTTCGTAAGGGCCTTCAACTCGGCCTCTCGGTCTACCCCTCAGCTACCGCCATCTTGAAACCTCGCGCCCCTCCGCAATCCTTACGTCATTTCCCATTCCTCTGTCCCGCTGTCTCTTAGCGCAGCTCGGCCCTAGAACCATAGAGAATACTCAAGAATTCCAGGACCAGAGTCTCTTCCGGTCCCGTACAATACTCCATTGGTTGGTCGTAGGCTAAGAGCCCGCCTCATTGCACTCATCTAGTACAATAGGAATTGAAAGAAGATAGCTGCTATCTGATTGGCTGACGGTCCTGTCTCTCAAGTTGGAGGCATTCTGACTTAGTTGCTGGGGGCGTAATGCGTTGACCTATCCGAGAACGGTACATTCTGCAGATGCAGAAGCGTTCCGCGTTTTGTGTCTCTTGGAATTACGTTAGTTTTTGGATTTTTATGTTTCTTATGACGCAAGCAGGTGCGATCCTTTAGGGGTGTCTCCGTTTGTAAACGAATACCCAGATAACATTTGATACTGAGTTTAATCCGCTTTGTAAGCATCAGGTTATCCCATGTGGGCGCCTGGTACGTGTGGAAATTTAATAGACGCGCAGAACAGAACATTTGTAGACCACCTGAACAAATAAATCAGCACCCGTATTAGAGTCGCAAATTGCTTATACGGGCGGTGACTTATTATTTATTAGTAGTGTTCTGAAGAAGAAATACGGGGATACATATGCAGTCGGTTTTAAGTTTATGAGTGGCAAGGTCGATATATGTTGGCTGTATTCCCTACTGGTCTATTCACCAGCCAAAAGTCCTCTATGATGTCACTCTAAGTAGGGGATTATTCACTTAACTCTAGCCTTTGCCCTTTCCTTACCTTCTATCCCCTCTTTCCCTAAGTCAGCCCCCACTTATTTCCCTTAAAGGTAAGTTTAAACATTTAAAAAACTATCTTAGAGGATACGCTTGGTTATTTCTAATCTTAACCTTGTAGGAAGGCTATTCTTACCACCAGTTATAAATATTTCAAAATACTGTTGGAGATACATATTAATTTTTGGCAGAATCTTTAAACTGCCCTTGAAGGTAATATGATCGGTCCTATACCTAAACTTACCTTTGTGTTAGGAAATTCTTGATTTGATTTTAGACTGAATTTGAGTGTCGGAAAGCAATGACAAGATCTGGTAGGTTAAAGCTGATAAACCAGGTAACACATAAAAAAGCAAATAATCTTGAATTTTGAAGATGAACTAAGTTGTAATATTTTGCAACTTGTTTTTTTTTTTCTTCTTAACACCATATTAGTGGTCATAGTTTTGCAACTTGTTTTGAAAAACAATGTGAGAAGAGAAAGAGAAAACAAACTGTTTGTTGGAAATATTAAAGTCTTTCATGTAGCTAAAATTTTTCCTGTAGCTAATATTATTAAGATAGGCTGAGCAGTTTTTATTTCAATACATTTCTTGTACTTGGATGGGAGAATCAACTATAACAAACGCAGTCTGGCATCAACAGCATATTAATAATTTTGTCAGTATAGACTAAAAGAGTCCTCATGGGAATTACTTACTGGCAAAGGATTTAGAAAACAAACACATCTGCAGAGATTCAGCTGAACCATTAATAGGCCTCTATAGCCTTTGGCGTTTTCTAAAATCAGGTAATTAGTGAAATGGCCCACCTAATGCCTCGTGTAGCAAAGGCAGCTGCCTCCTTTTTGCTAGTGTTGCAAATGAAATTATATTAATTTTTCTGAAAACATAATAAAGTATGACTTTCCTTTAAATGACAAATGCTTTGAGAGTAGTGACCTATTCTGCATCCTAAATGCATTTTATTCATGTGTAGCTGTGTTTTGCTTGCTTGTCTTTTAAATGTTTCAGTGTTTGAACATTCACTTGAGCGATATTTAATCATCACAATTGGTCAGGGTTGATTGCAGTTACAGAAACAGGACTTTGATGTTTTTAGTTTTGATTTTTACCATTTTCAAATCCATCCACTTTACATTGTGTAATTAGTAGACTTTTACAGATCTGCTTCCTGTCCTAATTGAAGCAAATTGTTACAAATCATTTTTCAGTCTCTTCTAGTTTACGAAAAACAGATTTACTCTGATGGACAAAAATATGATAGTATTTCTGTCTCATTTGAAGGCCTAGGGTTTGTGTCTAGGCAGAAGTTACTAAGTATGTCCCCTTATAACTAAATGATGTTTGAAGCTGGTGGTAGAAATGAAAGTCTCTGCAGTCGATGTAAAATTTAAGAATTTTAATGAAATTAGAAAAGGAAAAAGTAACTTCTATACTTGCTACTCTATGACAGCATTTACCCCAATGTTGATCTGGTAGAGCAGGGTGTGAAAACATCCAGTGGGATAATTTTTTTTTTTACCTCATAGCGTCTAACACCAACTCATCCAGGCATTGGCTCTAAACTCATCTAGTCATCTAGTCTTGGCATCCCCAGTTTCCCTCTCCAAATTGTTTATCCTATTTAAGTCCATATTGGAAGCCTATAGAAGATGAACCTAATCAAGGAAGCAAACACTGTTACTGAAAAGGAAGCAGAAAAACACTTCAGTGGCAAATAAGATGGCTGTTCATTTCATTTGGTGTTTCACTAGATTGGTGACCTCAGTAATGGCATGATTATATTTTTCTGAGGCTGACTTGAATTCCACCAGATGCTTCTCATAACTTTTGATGGCTGCTTGAAGCTGTGTTTTTTCCACTGCTCCCAGGATGGCACGGACAATCATATCTATGCCAAGGCCAAGAACAGCAACTCCAATACTACCAAGGAGAGAAGCACCAATTTGAGCTAACACAGTGACCAACTTGTTAATTATGCCAGTTGTGATATTTGAGCCCACGAGTTTAACAGCGACTGCACTGGCTGCAGATGTAGCTTCTCCCAGGATGACCGAAATAACCTTTTGCACTATTGCAATTTTCTCTGTTTCCTTTTCCTTAATATCCTGAAGTTTTCTATAGAGGGTTGGCTCTAGCTTGTCTTTTAGTGCTTCATCAACCTTTTGCAATTCCTTTTGGATTTTCATAATGGCTTGGATGATGATATCACAGTTTTCTTTGATGGTCCCGTCTCTTTTCATCTCAATGAAGGCCAGCCTGCACCCCAAGTGCGTATTTAGAACCTCAGTCAGCTTATTGGTGACATCGAAGCTGTCAGATAAGCAATCAAGGAGCTGTTGGTGAAGACGATTTACTTCTTGCCGCCTCTTTGGGTTCTCTGGGTAGAGGAAGTCACTTTGGGCCATATTTCCAATATGATCGCTGAAAAATAAAATGGCAAATTTTTACTGAAAGTCTTAAAAAACGTCTGCTAACTGCGTAGAAGGGACTAGGAAATCTTTTTCTTCGTGCGTAGCAAAGAAGCAAGATGCTGTGTAAGGAGAATTCCTCAGAACACTCAAGTTTTTTTTTTTTTTAGAAATAGAGTCTCACTCTGTTACCCAGGCTGGAGTGCAGTGGCGTGATTTTAGCTCACTGCAACTTCTGCCTCCCAGGTTCTAGCAATTCTCCTGCCTCAGCCTCCTGAGTAGCTGGGATTACAGGCACACACCACCATGCCCAGCTAGTTTTTTGTATTTTAGTAGAGACGGGGTTTCACCGTGTTGCCCAGGCTGGTCTCCAACTCCTGAGCTCAGGCAGTCCACCCCCTCAGCCTCTCGAAGTGCTAAGATTACAGGCATGAGTCACTGTGCCCAGCCTCAGCAGGTTCTTTAAAACAGTTATTGTTACAAAATTTGGAGTCAGTGTATGGAAAATGTAGGCAACAGAATACAACCCTTTGATGGATAAATTAAGGTAGTAGATTTTGTGGTGGTGGGAAATATTCATGTTTATCAGGCATCTTTATTAATAAGCATGATTATTTCTAGGTAATATTTAATAACTTTTATTTGAAACAGACCCCAATTTGAAATGCTTAGCTCTTGATTACTAGTGCTCCTTAGTTTCTCCAACCCCTAGTCATCACATTGACCACACCTACTGACTGATTTCTCTGAATTTACAGGGCTGTTTTTTGTGTTTCAATACTTGGTTATTTTCACTTAAAATATTCAAATTACTTTATATTTCTCTATAGGCAAGTTATTTGTTTTCTAAACCTAAGGGATATCCAAAGGCAACATATATATCATGCTAGAATCTTTAAATAATTTTTTTCTTGTGATAAGAGTATATATTCAAGACTCTTTGGATTAAAATTTCATGTGAGGAGAAGGTAGGAACTATAAATACAAAAATTAGTCGGGCGTGGTGGTGCATGCCTGTAATCTCAGCTACTCTGGAGACTGAGGCAGGAGAATCACTTGAACCAGAGGTGGAGGTTGCAGGGAGCCAAGATGGTGCCACTGCACTCCAGCCTGGGCAACACAGCGAGACTGTCTCAAAAAAAAAAAAAGTAGTGAGAGTACATCATAGAATGAATAAAATAACTTGACAGGAGACTTCAGCATTTGTTCTTTTGGCCCACGGTACCATGTAGAGAAAACAGTCATGTTCTTCTGTGTTTATTTGGGTGAAAAATCTAAATTTGAGCCAGTAAGAGCACGATGCTACTCAATATGCATACTTTCAGTAGCCTTTCTATGTGGCTGGCACTTTTTTTTAAAAATTAAACTCGAGAGAAAAGAGAGAAAAAATGGAGTTCTCTATCCATATCCATGTGGAATCTGGCACAGTCTCTTTTTAAGTAAACAACATCGTAATTAACTTGGACCCTATGTCTTCTAGCCCCACAGTTCTTATTCTGCTTAAGGGGAACCTCAGAAGCATAGAATGAAGGAATGAAGATTTTTTTCTTTCAAGAAAGTAAACCTGAAAATAACCTATTCTCCAAATCATATGGATATAATTTGGAAACGGAAAAGGGAAAATTTTTCTGAAATTGTTTAGAAACATAAATAACCATGTATGTTGTTAGATTTAGAAAAATGCACTGGAACCTCCTGGCAAAATAAAATACCATGGTCAGAAATTCATTTTTATCCTTGATTCAAATCCAGCACACATGCACATATATACAGGCAGGCACACGTGTAACAGACACACATTTCCACAAAACAATACTTAGAAAATCTCTAATCCAATTCCCT